CTCATACTATCTTTATTAGATCTCACTTTCGCAAGTGGCCGTGAAGGGATTGACAACTCCTTTATTGCGTTGGTTGCGAGTTCACAGTTTGTTTGTGTAGGTGTGTGGGACTTTTGAGGAGCCTCCTACTGGATTGATACCTTGGTTCTCAAAAGTGAGGGAAATACTTATGCTACACTTGCTGCATCACCCTCTCCTCTTCGAGGAAAACCAACGCAAGCTCAAGACGTAGCAACCCTAGAGGAGGAGGGGGTGGGGGAGAGCCCCTAGAGGACGAGGAGGTGGGGGGAGAGGCAGCCGGGGCCAAAAAACTCTGGGCCGTGTCCGAAATAGGAGGGTCTTCTTTGATGCCCTCCTATGCTGAGGCAGCTTCTGAGTCTTAGGAGGAGGAGTATGTTCCTGATGGCAAGGAGGAGGAGGGTGAGGAGGAGGAGGCCGAGGAGGAGGCCAAGGAGGAGGAGGAGGGTGAGGAGGAGGGCGAGGAGGGTGGAGGGGAGGTTGACCCTGAGTTGTGGGGTGACTTGCCACCGGGTGCTCCGCAGGGGTGGCTGCGTGGTACTGCCGGAGTACCTACACCACCTTCTATCAAGGCGCACAAGTGGCTCATTGAACCTGCGGGGACAGAGTAAGTGCATCTCAATCATATTTTCAACACATGACAACATTTTCTTATTGTACACATGGCAACCCTTTGATTCTTTTGCAGTAATTGGATCCTTCGCGGAAAGGGTCGTAAACCGAATGGCCTTATCACTGTCCTGTTGAAGGAGTTTTGGCCTGGCCTATTCTGCCCGCGGCCAGACAGGGACCCGCAGCTGCGTGTTTTGGCCACAAGCTGGGCCCACTACGAGGCTTGCAGCAACGCGGAGTACGGGACGGCCGCTAAGGCCATGATCACCAAATTTTGGGTAAGTTCTCTTCTGAATCACTTGTCTTCAGTTTCGTTCATAGTTTATCATTGAATCACTCAACTCATGCCTTGTTTGCTTCTGGTTTATGCATGATTGCAGCAACTCTATAGAGTTCTTGACGAGCACATGGCCAGAGCCGACGTGGTCTTACTTGCGGCTGCAAAGAAGAAAGCTCGTCAGTTGCAGTACGAGGTGCATTGGGTTGCCATCTCGCAGTACTACCACATCTACCTGCAACAAAAGATGACCAAAACTCAAGCACAGAAGCAACAACTTACCATGAGCAGGGAGCAGTTCATGATGGTAACTATTACTGACTTTTCATTGTTTCAAGCAGTCAACTATATGTTTCGTGCTCACATGTCATGCTTCCAAAATTTGCATAGGTTGTTCCTCGTTGGTGCTATGGAAGGCATGACGGATGGGCGAGTTTGGTGGATAGGTGGGTCGGTGACGATGCAGAGTTTGCTGCCAAGAGCATCAAGGCCCGGGCTAACCGTGGAAAAGACGGGACACGCGGCCAAGGAAACAGGAACCACTGGGGCTTCAAGGCCATGAAGGTATATCTATATGCATGATGCATTTTTGTTCTTCTTTACTGTCATGTTCTTATGTATGGCTAACTTTTATTTGACATTGCAGGAGGACAAGTTACAGAGGCCGCTCTCAGACATGGAGTCGTGGAAGTTGGCCCGCGAGCGGAGTGATCGCAAGGACGGCGAGAGCCCGTACTACGGCAACACCGAGCAGCACCTGGAGTCTTACACTCAGAACTATCAGAAGTTGCATCCGGATGTTCCCGTTCCTGAGGTCACCCAGTCTCAGATCGACGACACGGCGGTGGTGGCCATCTAGGGTAAGTCCCATGGCCGGTATCCGTGTTTCGATGGCTTGATCACTTCGTCGATCTCGTACACACGGCTTCGAGCTACCAACCCGAGCCCGTTAGAGAGTACGGGGCGTTTGCAGCCTCCCTTAGTCCACCAGCGTGCTGTAAGTACTTCCCCTTATCTTCTTTGTCTCTATCTTTCTTAGTTTATTTTCAGCACTGCCCACTTAGAAACAACCTCAATTTTGTAGGCATATCAGGCCTTTCTCGAGCATAGGCATATTGAGGTGCGGGAGTACTTGCAACGAGTGAAGGCAAACGATGATTACAGCCGTCAAGTGATGGCGGTTAGTTTTGCCCTCTTAAAACCAAGCTCAAATTTGCACTTTCATTCCTTCTAACTTTCTAGTTTGCTTGTTCAACTAACATCCAAGCTATGTTGGCGTCTTGGACTAACCGCACGGAGCCACCACAAGTTGGACCCCCACCACCACCTGCGGGAGACGCCCCACACATTCCCATGTTCGAGGAATGGGTGGCACTAGGCGGTGATAGTCCGGTTAGTACATTTGCCTAACTACTGACAAACTAGTTCTCGTTCATTCAACACTATCATGTCATATTTACCGTTAGAATCTTCTCTCAAACATGTAGGGGACCGGTGGCTCGACTCCTACTCCGTCGACCCCAGTCACTCTGATCTGGCAGAGTGATGGTGGTCGCGGTGGCGGTTTTGGCGGAGGTGGTCTTGGCGGTGGTGGTTTTGGCGGAGGTGGACTTGGTGGTGGTGGTTTTGGCGGTGGTGGACTTGGCGGAGGTGGACTTGGCGGAGGTGGTCTTGCTTGATGTCGATGATGATTATGTGCATGTAGCCGTCGTGCCATGCCTTTCATGTTCCAACTTTTATGATGTTCCATGTCTTGCACTACTTTTATGTTCATGAACTTTCGCCGGTGATGATTTTTACATGATGAACTTGACTATGTTTAAATGATGATGATGAACTTGAGTATGTTTAGATGATGAACTGTCATATTTCTGCATAATTCCATATTATTCTGCTTTGAAATGTTGTCAAATGAACTGAAAAAGAGAAAACAGGGAAAATAATAATAATAACTATGCCTACGGCAAAGCCGTCGGCATATATAAGCCCAAGAGTTACCAGGACGCGCCACGTGGCAGAGCTATGCCTACGGCAAAGCCGTCGGCATAGATTTCCATCTATGCCGATGGCTTTGCCGTAGGCATAGCCCTGCCGCCAGGAGAAACCAGGAGACGACACGTGGCAAGGCTATGCCTATGGCAAAGCCGTCGACATAGATTCTAGTAGGCATAGCCCTACCACCAGGAGGCACCACGGATGCCAAGTGGCACAGATATGCCGACGGCTAGGCCGTCGGCATAGATTTCTACCTAAGTCGTCGGCATACCTGCGTCACGTGGTATTCCGTGAATCGTCAGCGCTTTTGATGGCGCCGTCCGTTGCCGTCAGACGAAAAACACTGCCGACGGCTGGCCCGCGGCCGTCGGCATACGCACCTATGCCGACGGCTATACTACGCCGACGGTCTGACACATCTACGCTGACGTGGTCTACGCCGACGGGGCTATGCCGACGGCAGCCGTAGACATAGATCTATACCGACTGCAAAGGGCCTATGCTGACGGCCCTGGGCCGTAGGCATAGGCCGCGAGTCTGGTAGTGAGCACCTTATTTCTCATCCATGGCTACGGGAGCCGTTGTACGGGACCAGTTTTGCAGCTGCTCGTTGCCTGAGCAACTGTCTGGCGACGCCGTCCCAGTCCGCCGCAGCAGCAACGGCCGTGCGACCAATCTGCAGGACCATCCTTTAGGCGGGCGCCGCTGAGGCGATTAAAAGAACGCCTCAAAATCTACATCGGTTTTAGGCTTTTCTTGAGAACGGCTCCAATTCATGTCTGTTTAGCGGCAGTTTGAGAAAATTCAATGAAAGCTTAGTACAATGGGAGGCATTTTCCTGAAATGCCTTCTTATATACAGGAATTTGAGGCAATTCAAAAAAATGCTCCTTATATACAGTTTGGAGGCATTTTCCGAAACGCCCTTACCAAAATGCCTCCGATTAACAACCATGGTGTAGTGACTAATGATCACATTAGTTCCAGTTCGTAATGCGGCCGGGACTATTGCTCCGATCCCGCTAGAATCAAAGCCCAGTTTTCTACTAGTGAATATAGTTTTTTTTTCTACTAGTGAATATAGTTTTGATGCCCTTGTAAAGACGATCGCCACGGTGAAAACGGATCATCAATCAGATGTGTCGTTAGAGAGGTAAAACATTTTGAATTTGTGGATAAGAGTGAATATCTATTTGACATCAGTTTCGCAAATGACGCTAAGCAGAAAAGCTAAATTGATGAAAGCGGCTCCAACCTAGCGTTTGATAGCTACACGTTCGTTAATAATATACTACCTTCATTTCAAAATAATTGAAGTTCTGGATTTGTTCAAAGTCAAACTTTTTAAGTTTGACAAAGTCTATAGAAAAAATATATTAACATGTAGAACACCAACTTAGTCTTTTGAGATTCTTTCTGACATATAGTTTCGTACTATGTGTATTCGATATTGTAGATCTTAGCGTATTTTTCTATAAAAATGGTCAAACTTAAGAAAGTTTGACTTTACAAAAACCTAAAACTTCAATTAGTTTGGAACGCAAGGAGTATCAATGTCCACTAAGAAAAAAAAGGAGCACGAAAGAAACCTCACAGGAATATATATACAACCAACAAGCTCAACTTAGTCTTTGATAGTTTCTCTAAGAAATGAGGCTCGAGACGAGTCCAACTTTGAATTAATAAAGCCATCAACCGCATCCGGCATACAACCCAACAAGCACATTAGCACAACGAAACAACTAGACTGACAAATTAAAGCAACGAAAAAGGCAACGGCCCAAAAGATACAAAGGTGTTGAGAAAAACAGCTTACAACACAAACCCACCTACACTGATAGGAAAAGAAGCACCCCTTGAAGATGGGGCCGCCCTTCAAGCTCGAACACCTGTCGGAGAAGATAGAAACAGCGTCGGAGAAGGCATTGCCAGCCGCCTTGCCAACGATCTAAGAACCGAGAAGATACCACACCCCGTCACCAGAGAGCTTGATCTCTTGTCCTAAGATGAACTGAACTACCCATCTCGCATCATGGATCGAGATGGAAGGTATATAGATTTCGATCCAACAGCTAGGTGGCTAAGCTAGCTCGTCACGATCAGCGCGTCATCCCATCTACGTGCATGGCGGGCGGCACGGTCGCCGCCACGCCGCCGCGCTGCTGCAGCTCCATGTTGGCGTGCCATCCTGCATGCATCCGCCGCAATTCAACATACGTACACCAAACGACGATCACGAACGCACGCACGCACGCACGCACCGATGTCCATGACGAAGCCGCGGTTGTGGAGCTCGCGGTACTCCTGGCAGAGGGCGCAGAACTCGCAGAAGCAGTGGACGCAGAGGTCCGGGTAGGGGGCCTCCTGGAGGCCGTACTGCGCGCGCATCTTGGTGCGGTAGAAGCAGGTGTAGACGGGCGGGAACCACCAGGAGGTGACCATCCCGATCAGCATGTACAGCGCCGCGCTCGCGCCGCTGGAGAGGGAGCCGCGGTCCACGATCTCCGCCACCAGCCCGAAGGTGACGCACGGGCAGAAGCACGTCATCCAGCAGTTCCCGGGGTCCTCGGCGCAATCGAACAGGCCCGTCGACCAGGGGTGGACCGGCGGCTGCGCGTGCACCAGCGCGCGCGTCGGCGGCGCGGCCGGCGCTGGCAGCTGCTCGGCGGCGTCCATGCCTGGCACGCGAATTGATTTTGATTCCTCCGGCTAGCCGCTTCCTCCTCCGGCCACCGGCGGGTGGTGTAAGCGCGGGCGCGGGCGCGGGTGTGGTGGCCTCAACAGGAGCGCCAAGGCTGTTTATATCATGGTTGATCCGGAGGTAGGTGACCATGCATGCATCCAAACAACTCTGATCCAATGCATGCATGATTGATCCCATGCATGGCTAATCCCTATCTTTAGCTACAACGGGCAAAAATAAGTGCCACGTGATTTTCCTGCCCTTTCTTCTCCGCACAAAAATAGTAGCACTAGTTTCAGTCAGTGGTACAAAATTTTCTCTTGAATTGTGACTTCAAGAGAAAACTAATTAAATTTGTATACAAAACATCATATATGCTAGTAATATGCATAAGGGGTCAAACAACGGACGCGGATTTTGAGGACATGCGGCCACGCGCTGCCGTTATCCCGTGCGTCCACGAGCGCGTCGTGATCGGTAGCTAATATAGCCTCTCGCCCCCCACGCGCAATACTGCAGTGTTAATTACTCACGAAATGGGAATACATCCGCTATACCCTCTCGCCTGCTCCGTTGCAGTGCGTGTTAATTGAAGTAATCAATTCATGCTGGGTGTCATTATTCGGTGCAGGGGAGCTGGGAGTATTGATGGTGCGCAGTGCCCTCTTTTATTGATGCATTCAAGTGAATGGCGGGTGACGACTAGGCGATGACTTCCTTTGGGTGGTCATCAGTAATTCATGACAACCCTGCTGTTTGGTGTATGCACATTTGCCTTCGACGTGTTTACATCTGTTTTATGATTAGGGGTAGATTAATTACAGTAGGGCGCGAGCTCACAACGGTGTCTAGCTAATTTATTGATAAACCAGCTTGCAGCCTGCATGAGCAAGCTAAACATACGGCTGATACATGCAGTTCGGCTAGCAAAAGTAAAACATATAAAAAAGGAACGACAGTCCCTCGCAGAGGGGATAAACTACAGAGTTCTGAGGAGGCAGCTCATGGCCATGGCCGTGCGAGGGGTGCATGCAGTGCACTGAGCAGAAGAAGATGAACACGTAGCCAGCGTTTCATTCGGGACAACGGATGAGAGGGAGTGGAGGCATCTGATTGGCCGTGTGGTATGATGGAGGTGGTGTTGAACTACTATGAGACAAGGACGAACACATGCTTTGCAAGCTCAGCTAAGCTGGGAATAATGGAGAATGGAAAAAGACAGAGAGAAGCGTCGCCCAGATAGCCGTTGTGACTGAAGTGTGATCAACGCGCGTCTCGCTCCTGCCTGGTGCAGCTAGCCGTTGGCACTACCGTGCAATGAATTCCTCTCGACGCGCCAGACGTTTCAATGCGTGTGGCTGCCATGTGGGCCTTTACTGCCGCGCGCAGAGAAAAATACGAGCGCTATACCAGCTGGTGTACGTTGCCCATGGGAGTTTATACGGCAACGTTGTATTGGAGTAGCACGAATCGCTAGGGGACGAGTGGTGCTGATAACGACCTCGCGTGGCTGCATGTGCACACATGATTTATCGTCAAACAACCTCTTATTTTCAAAAATAAAAACTATGCATATAGTATAGTTCGGCTTGTCACTCATACATTTCTTAAGCTGCAAATCGAAGTTGCATTTGAAATTTTGGGACATCGTAAGCATGTATGTATATGTTGTGTCAATGATGTCAACAATTTCAGAA